TGTGTGTGTGTGTGTGTGTGTGTGTGTGTGTGTGTGTGTGTGTGTGTGTGTGTGTGTGTGTGTGTGTTTAAGCGACAATTGCTGGTTTTAGCAAACGACAAAAGATTTGAACTGCTTCCATTTTATTATAGCATGATGAGATTACATCACATCTTAATCTTGTTTTCTCATCGTGTTGACCCCATGTAAACCCYTTTGCAGGCTTAGATCCTCACTTGGAGGCATCCAAAGCCAAAGCTTTAGTCCGGATATTTTTTTTTCCATTACACCCCCTTTTTGAACAGGTCAATCTAAAGACATGTAGCTTAGATAATGAGAGACTTCTTGTCCATTAATTTCTTGAAATCCAATGCYAGACCTTAACTATCCAAAGCTCAAGCAAATCCAACCTATTTGTCAAAGATGTGGATCAGCTGATCATCCAATTTTCTTTACTTAATGGTTGGAATTACAGCTCAAATGAGAATTGAACTTTGATGAGTAGAACGCAGTGATTTTGGTGCACTTTCTGTGTTGTATGTCAAATGTCTTGTTACTTCACAAGCGTGATACATCTGAATCCCTCTGGGGGGGTTTCTATGAAAGCGCCTGCCTCACTGAAATTGTACAGCCATTTAAACAGCACAGTAAATCAAATTTRGCCAGGGGGAGTAGAAGTCCATTTTCTTAGCCAATACAGCAACATATAGACTTTTCCTACAATATATGAAGCAGCCTGTGGGTTTCTCAAAGTTAAGTGAATGGGACATGATAGAGAACTGCCTCCAGAGGAAATCTGGAGTGTTAATTGCTGCCTAGGTACTGAGTTATAAAGATTGAATACATCAAGCCCAACTACTTTAGAAAACTAATTTTGCAGAGTGGACTGAGCTATTGCCCATCTAGCTGATGTGCAGAAGTTAGCTCCAARGACCTAAAATATTCATTAAGTACAGCTCATGTGTTTGTCCAAATACGAGCTAAAGGGATGAGTTTATGCTTAGTTTCCCATCACAGCTCYTGGCTTGTGCTGGTATTAGAGCTGTTTGTTGGTGTGAGCTGACTGAAACTACATTCAGGTTTTTCTAATAGAAAAAAGGGAAAAATTCACACGCAGTTTTTACTGGAAGATTTGTGTTGCTGCTTGTCTAAGAACCTAATGTTTGTCACTATTCATAAGTCGTGTTGTGAAGAAGATGGTGATTTTTAGCTTAAAGGGAAAGTCTGGTGAGTTTTGAAGAGATTTATGTCAGATAGCTTTTAATAAGTTTGTATTTATTAGTTGTGACATCAATGGAGCACAGAGGGTGGAGAGGGGTGCAAAAGTCTTCATCTAAACCAGAGATGGGCAATTTACTTCTATCCGGCCAGTCAAAATATATCCTAGATTCTAATAGCG